TCAATGGCTTTTGCATAGTCAATGAAGCAGAAGTAGATATTTTTCTGGAACTGTCGTGCTTTCTCCATGATCCAGCGGATGTTGGCGATTTTTTTTCTAGTTCCTCTGCCTCTTCGAAACCCAGCTTGTACATCCGGTAGTTCTCGGTTCATGTATTGCTGAAGCCTAGCTTGTAGGATTTTGAGCATAACCTTGCTAGCATGATGGGCTCTACTGCTCTACTACTAAATCTTCTTCACTGGGTTTCCACTAGAGCAACTTCTGATTTAAGTGGCAGAGTATACCCAAAGCCCCCATAGCACTGGACAGACAGACAGTAATGCCACAGCCCTTGTGTGTAAATGGATCATAAGTATGCCCCCTAAATAGCTCTGTGCATCTTTAAGGGGGAGATTTTCTTTAGGAAATATATACATTTTGGAAAGGCACCTAAGTTCATCCAGAAATAATACAATTGATGAAATCCATCAGTTTAAATGTTTTAAGAGACTGAAAAATAGGTTTCCAATAAGCAGGCAGTTCACCACATATTGTTTAATTGCAAAGCTTAGGAGAAAATGGTAAATGAGAAGTTGCTTCTTCAAAGAGGCAGCCCTTTATGAATGAGGGTAGAATGCCTCTTCTAAGATGATACCTGATAGTCTTGTTTAGCCCACTGGCTTTACAGGTTCAACTGTTCAGCAGCGCCTGGCCATATTAAGTGAACATGTGAAGTGAGTAATACTTATTCAGTACTAGGCCACCTCACCTGGAACTGCATGTTTAGCATTACTGCGAAAGAGGGCTTTGTATTTGGAGCATCTCCCTGTAAAGGTGAGCTCTGCTTACTCATGCTTCTCTTTGGCGTGGATAGTTCTGTGTGTTTTCTTTTTCACTGGAATGACAGATTCACAAGGGTGTTAGAATCATGGAATGATTGTGCTTCGTCTTTGCCTGGGATGCTCATTTAAACAGATCGGGCTTTAAGAAATCTGCTAATGGTACTCTTTTTTTTTTTTTTTGCATACCAAAGTACTTTCTATGCCATTCCACTTCGTACCCAGACAGCTCTGCAAGTCCTAACTATCTCTCTGTCATGGTCAGACTGGTTTTTCTTTCTTGTAATTTATCCCTTTTTTTCCCCCAGTGGGCTATTCATTACCATTCACGACAAGGGACATATTGCCACAATGCTGAACTCATGGCCTGAAGAAAACATAAAGGTAATGGACTGTTTGATTTGTTTTCAATGGGGGGGGGGATCCTATTTTTCAGGGAATCAGAAACAGATTACAAATGAGCCGCAAGGTTAAAGTGGGTCCTATTCTAGCTGCAAAAAGATGATTAGAACTAAGACTGATTAAGGATTGCCCTGGACCTTGGGTTCAAGGCTCAGCTTTGGGTTATGTCTCTTTGCCACTGGTCAGTGTGAGAGGACAAATCAGTGTGAGAGGACTGCCTTGTCAGTGTGAGAGCACCTACACACAGCTAGTTTCACTTCCTAGAAGATGTAGATGGCCTGACTCCATGGAGATGCTGCATGCTTTTTGCAGGATTCTTATAATGTTTAGCCTGTTGTTTGTCCCATGAACCACAACGTTGAACATTTTCCAAAAGGAAATTATAGTGAAGATTCCACTTCTGAACATATGGAATCATGACTGGTTGGCTGTTTTTTTTTTAATCCCTAAGTAACTGAAACCCTCTTGTCTACGTTTAGTAATATAGGATTGCACTTTCCAGACACAACTGTTCTCCCAGTTCCTCTTTGCATTAGGAATTAAGCACTTCCACAGGAACATTTATCCATTGTGTTTTAATGGAAGCCAGATTTCATCCTCACTCCATCAGAATGATTGGCAGCCTTAGCATGTTGAATTAATTTTCAAGAAGTGACTTCTAACATTTGTAAATTAGAAGTTTGCATAATTGAATGGGAACATTTAAGAATCTAAGCAAATCAAGCTAAGAGCAGTCATGTGGTTAACTTGGGGTTTGGTACTTTTGAAACAACAGGTTCTGCGGTAGTACTGTGTGTGTCCAATTGCATATACTTTGATTTTATTAGAATTTAAGATCAAAGGGTGACTCATTGCTTGACATGGTCGCCCAGTTCCTGACTACAAGTGGAAGACCCAAGTTCAGTTCAAAAAGCACACCAAAGCAAACTGGGTTAGAATTTGGACAGCCTAACCTGCATTGCAAAATGCAGGTGGATATCTAGGATTCAGAAATGGGATGTATGAAGCCGTTGTCTTGAGTCACGCTGCCAATGGAGCCAGTTGAGTGTGGGATACTGGCTGATTGTGCCTTTCCACAGCTTTTAATGGAGCTGTTTCCCAACCCTTCTTCAAGATGTCAGCATCCTGGAGCTACAATAACTGTATGTAAAAAATAGACCTGTCGAGCATCTGTGATTCTTCCTTAGAAGTGATTTCGATGCATCCATGGATTCAATAAACCAAAGGATTGCTGTCATCATCTGTCCATTGCAAAATAGATATGGCTTTACTTAATCAACCTGAAAATGTTTCCCTTCCTCCGCACATAGACCCAAATTTAGAATGCATGATAACCAAGAGATGTTTTAGTGTCCATACATTTACCCTTCTTCAAGTCGAACTTGACTCGTGGTTTTATGGACATACCTATACAGTTTTCTTGGCAACAGTACAGAAGTGGTTTGCTACTGCCTTCTTCCAAGATGTTTTTCAACCACCTACAGGTAGTCCTCGCTTACCAACCACTTGTTGAACGACCGTTCGAAGTTGCGATGGCACTGAACAAGTGGTACTTACAACCAGCCCTCAAAGTTCCAGCCGTCACACCACCTCTGCAATCACATGATTGCGATCTGGATGCTTGACAATTGGCTCGCACTTATGATGGTTGCAGTGCCCTGTGGTCACATGATTGCCATTTGCAACCTTCTCTGACAGCTTCTCACAAGCAAAGTCAATGGGGAAGCTGGCAGGGAAGGTTGCAATTTGCTCTGGTAGGTCTTCCCTGCCCGGCAGCAGCCACCCCATGCCCAAAATAGCTTGCCATGCCACTTGCCTGCCAGCATGCTTGGAAGTTGCCTGGGACTTGCAACTTCCTGCAGGCTTCCACACAGACTTTGGTTATTGGAAGCCAGCCAGAAGTTGCGAGATCCTCTTTTAATGACCCGCAATCCTCACTTAATGACAGGGACTTCTGGGATTGCTGACACTAAGCTATGCAGTCATGTGACATTATGCTTTATGACTGCATCATTTAGCAACTGAAATTCTGGTCCAAATTACCATCATTAAGTGAGGACTACCTGTATAGACCTGGTCTTTTCTGGAGGTCTCCCATCCAAGAATGAGCCAGGTCTAACCCTGCTTGGCTTCAGAGCCTACAAAAGGTTGTGCAGGTGCTAAAATATTCCAGTGGGCATTAGGGTCTTCTAAAGGTACATGGAAAGGCTAAAGGTTGCTAGAGAGGAAGATCAAGGTCACCATTCTGAGATGGTAAGCAGGAGAGAAACAGGGAGGAAAAACCAAATTATATTTGACATTACTGGGAGAATGACTGATTGTCCACATCTTAAAATAAAGAAATGCACATCAATACCAAGGTTTTCACTGCATCTGTAGCATATTTAACAAGGCCAGCGAGATTCAGATACTCCTGAGACTTAGCTAGCAAATCCAAAATATTCAAACCACAAATATATATTTATGTCTGTATTGCTTTTTGTGCAAAAAGAACTTTCTTCTACCCAAAGCCCAAGCCACAAACCATTATCTGTAGATACATTCTTGTGGAATTTCTCTCTTCAATCGAAAACAACCGAGTGATCTAGAGAAAAGGAAATGGTTGATTCCGTTCATGGCTTTCATTGTTTTATATTGAACAGTGATGCCCATCTGTCTTCAGCAGAAAAAAGAAAACCACACGCCATATGGCATATGGCATATGTTTAAATCCTCCTGGGATTTCTCTCTTTAATCATCTGAAATATGTTAATATTTTAAAGCAAATTTCTTCTCCACTAGGGAAAAAAAACCCCAACAAGGTCTATTCCTAAGTAAACACAGCATTTCTCATTCTCTTTCACCCTGTCCCTAAAACAGGTAGATCTGTTGGAGTAAACTGCTGAAAGCTTCTTTTGATTGCGACAGGTCTAAATCAAATGAATAATAATACATAATATACTTACGGGCTTCTTCTCCTGATACACTTGTAACATAGTGGAGGGCTATGTGGGGGTATATCTATTCCCTTTATATTATTTGGAGAGGAAAAAAACTAAAAATTTCACAGCTTATTGACAAAACAACAATCCCATGTTGAATTCAATATTATATTTGTCACTCAGTCACTTCCGAATCTTTGTGACCTGACGGATATAATTTTGCCAAAATTGTCTATCAGTAACTACTTCTTCAAGTTCTTATAAGCCCCTGCTTGGATTATCAGTGATACTATCTAGCCATCTTGTGCTCTGTTGACTTCTTTTTCAATTGTGTTTGATGTTTCTCTAGTTCATGTCCTGGATATGTGAAGTCCAAAAGATATCCTTCTGTTCTCTTGAATTTAACTGTTGCTAATTTGACCTAGACTCAGATCAGCAGCAGCCAGATATATAGGGGAATATTCAATAGGCTTCCTAGAGTTTAAGCGGTTTGCCCTATTTTTTTTTTTAAATCTTCTGCAATTCTTGTGGAAGAAAAGAAATCCAGAACAGTCCACTAAGTTTCTCATTAGCCAGAAAATGTTATCTTATCATTGGAGGAGTAAACAGTAGCCGATCAGGCTAGAAGAGAAGGATGTGGCATGTCTTAAAAGTGGTGAATAGAAATTAATCATTCTTGGGGTGAGGGGGTGAGGGATTAAACTGACATTTCCCTACCAGACACCCTTGAGATGCATCTTTATGGCTCACACATATAAAAATCCTCATATGAATATAAGTCAAAGGAACAGACCAAAAAAAAATGGAAAAGGATGATAATTTGATGGTAGAGCACCTATAGAAAATCCCATCTTGAATCTCAGGTATCCCATGGTTAAGAAAAGATTGTGATGGGGAAAAAACTCTTCCTGAAATCTTGGAGAACTACTGCTAACCTAAATAGACAATAATGTTCTAAATGAATTTTAAAAGTGACCTGATTCAATGTGATTATTGAAGAAAATGCTAGAAGCAAAGCAGATCCTTCAACTCTTCACAGTGAGAGAGTGGTTTGAGGGGGAATTATAAGAATAAGGATCTTCAAAGAACATCAGAATACATGTATTTTTATCTTTTTACATATACATATACCTCCCCCCCCAAGTACAGTATTATGTGGATAGATAGACAGACAGACAGATGAGAAATGACAGGAGATAGATGCCTAGCTAGGTGCCTTTCCTCATTTTTTTGCTTTAGAAAAGAAAATAACAATGAAAAAGCAAAAGTCACTGAGTTAATCCAGAATTTGTATAGGTAACATCATGGACATCAACCAGGAGGTATCATCCACAATTTGTTTTTGCAAAACCAACATTTCAGAACATGACCTTGACAGAGAAGATGTCCATATGTTGTGAAATAATTCAGTGTTCTTCCAAACCATCCTGTTTAGCACTGTCTGCTTAATAAAAGCAATGCTTCACTGAATGCTTCTTTCTATAGCACATTCCTCTCTTCATTTTCAGGCTATTGTGGTGACCGATGGAGAAAGAATTTTAGGCTTGGGTGATCTAGGAAGCTACGGGATGGGCATCCCAGTAGGAAAGCTTGCGCTCTACACCGCTTGTGGTGGCGTTCACCCCCAGCAGTGCCTCCCTGTTCTTCTAGATGTTGGCACAGACAATGAGGTGAGATGGCTTGCTTATTTTATTTTAAAACACTTCTAATGTCTTAAAAATATGTGTCAAAGCAGCCTGAGTATGTCATTAGACTGCATGTACCTTAAGGTTGGTGGGTTGGAGTCAACTGTATGTTTGTTTGAAAGCTAATCTCCAGATTAGACATTTAGCTGTAGCATGCTGTGCTTTGGTTTCACTCATGGAAGACTGCCCCAAATGTGCCAGAACTGAATGATACTGTCCTTAGTGTAGCAGGGAATGCTGAACATGGCACAGACATGGCAAAGGCTGGTGACCTAGTCTGAACTGAAAGCCATTATCAAGAAGCCTAAATTGACCATAATGAGTGGTGAAGGTCAATATCTATGATCCATCTGGAAGTTTGTGACTTGCAATGAAAGAGGAGGAAATGATAAACAGCAAGCAAGCAAGCAAGAAAGATTGTGTGTTCATGAAACAAAGAGAAACAAGAAGGATGTAACAGATATGAATGAAGGTGGTCTATTTGGAGTTGATGAAAAGCTGTAGGAAAGTAAAATGTATATTTCATTCTGAATAAATAGACTAAAGTGAATATCAGAAAGTATGAATTAGTGTTGCTTAAGTTGTTATTGGGATATAAGAAAATAGCAATCCACAGGTTGGTGATAAGAAACTAGAGATGAGTCTGGAAGAGGAAAAAAATGCAACATTTGGAATAAACATGCTTAAGGGCAAAATCTTTCCATTAGGTGACATGAATGAATGGATGGGAAGGACACAAGATAATACAAAGGGAGAGGGCAGCTATTTGGAGTGCCAAGAATGAATGACAGTAGACAGGAGAAGAATTAGCTACTATGTGTGTGTAGAAGAAGGGGGAATAGCACTTCCTTTTGAAAATATGGGAAATATATTATTATAGTTTATCCAAATTGCAAATTTTATAGCAGTGTTCCTCTTAAAATGCTGTAGATCAATCAAGGATCTTAAGAATCCCTCCCTTATACCAGCAGCATGATCTTTTACATCTCTACTTAGGCCTTGAGTTCAATTGGAAGTATGCCCAGATAAGGAATTACAGCTTGCTTTAAAATAAATAAATACAGCTGTAGGTCTTCTGAAAGGGCCACTGAAATGGACAGGAATCTTTGAATCACTTGAGCAGTGTGTATGATTATCTGAATCACCCAGACCTAAGAGTTTGGGAGCTCCTGACAGCTTGCATGCAGAATTGATGTTGTCTAAAGCATTTGAACAAGTCATGTGGATGCAAATCAATGATGGGTACCCTCCTATTCTGCTGGCTGAAAATTGAAATAGCTATTTGCAGCAGCTGAAGGAGTCATCTCAATCTTTCAGCACAAGAAGTTGAGGTAAAAAGTTTCCTGTCTATCAGATAAATTTGACTTTTCCTGTAATAGTCACAAGGAAATCCATACATCCCTCTGCCTGACCAGAGGAGATCACATTTCAGCAAATAAAGAATACAAACCTAATTAATTTCAGTGTTTTGTCAGTTTCCACACTTTAATGTTTGTGATGATATAAGAGGATTGCATCTGTTAGCAGTTTTCTGGTCTTCGGCTCCAAAAGGATGCAATCCAGCAGCTAAACCCCATGCCAGAAGGGACATCTGTAATTGTTTTTCCCTTTGTTTTTGGCCAGTAAATATCTCGTGCTATTTGATGCGATCAACTTAGCTGACAAAATGTTCTTCATTAAAACAAAGTGCTTTTTTTTCTTTTTAACTTTGGCAATTTACCGGTTAAAACAATAGGGTGACAAAGCAAAGACTGAGTGTTGTTACTGAAGTAAAATGAAGATTGCAATTTTATTTGGAACCACAATTTTTATCACGCCCTTTCTCCAAGGATCTCATGATAACCTATATGGTCTCACCACCCACTAGTAAGAAAAATTAGAAACAGTGTCGGCTGGAACATCTCTCAGAATTTCAAGACTAAATAAAGGTTCACATTTAGTTCTCCCTGTTTCAGTACTTTACGTTAGGGCTAACTTCACACTACCTCTGGGGGCAGCAAAGAAATATGGAAAACACTGTTCCCATCTAGTGGTTGTACAGTATATATTTTTGCAGCTCAGGTCTGATAGCCGTATTCTAGACCAGCTTAGCCCAGTCTGGTACCCTCCAGATAAGTTGGGTTTTGTAACTTCTTTGGCCATGTGGCATACAACTCCATAGGGCCAGGCTAGCTGGAAATTATGGGAGTTATCTTCTCAACATATCTGGAAGATTCCCAGTTGTGGAAAGCTTTGGTGACTATTATTCCAACCTGCCTTTATGAAGATTGATTGATTGATTGATTGATTTAATTTTTATGCCACCCATCTCCCCCAACGGGTGACTCTATCCATACCTGTAGCTGAGAGGTTTTAGAAGGACAACTGAAGAACATTTCCACAGATATCCCCGGCATCCAGGGACATTTTTTTCCAAACATTTACGACCTGACTTTCATATACCAACGTTGCAAGGCAGCTGATGAACTGCTCATACAATGCCACAACAACATAGAGTAAAATAGACTGAGGCAGGTTACAGCATTTTGTGTTATTTTGCAAATTAGAAAGATTAGGTCCAGAGGTCCCTTGTTAAATCATCCTTTTCAAAGTGACCAACTAGGTCTGAAGGCAATAATGATGCCCCATTTGTGTTCTACAGCAATTTGTACTCAGAGGAATGCTATCTCAGATCCTAAATACTTAAGATATTATTTCTGTCTTAACCCAACACCTCCCCAAATATTAAAAATGGTCTAATTTTGCCCTTTAAGCTTCCCTTTGAACTTCAGATAAAAAAAGGAGAGTGAAAAATTTAATCTTCCCTACTTGAGAGGATTCTGTAGGCCACTAATTCATTGTTATAGGGCCCCAATCATTCCATGGTTGCTGGTTGTCCATGCATCATATAGAACAATAAGAACTCACAGGCATTCATAGACTAATCCTCCATGAATTTGGAAAATCCTTCTTTAAAGTATCAATCTAGGTTTGTGGTCTTCCCATCTCCAGCAGCAAATTCCATAAAGTAAGGCTGGGTTGCATGAATGAATACTTTTTCCTGAAAGTATTGTTGGCTAGTTTTGTGACATTTAGGAGATAGTGCTCTTTAGCATATCCTTTTCTATCCTTGTACTCTCCAGATGTGTGGGTCAGCTGAAAGTATGGGAGCTGAAGTCCACAATAACTGGAGGACACCAAGCTGAAGGAGGCTGCTCTATCCAAGTTCTCCACACCAGATTTTATTTCCTTAGCCTCTACCTGGTAGATCTGACCTGTTCCTACATGAGATCCACATGTTAACATTTCAGCAGATACTGTGAAAGCCAATAAATGCAGGACACCTTCCAGTTCAGCTTTCAACAGATTAAAGAAAAGATTCCAGATAGACAGAGAGAATTGCTACTCTTGCAATGATAACTGAAAATAAACCAATATATTCTAGTCCCTGTTTTGAATTGCATAAAGCAGAATGTTATGCACTAGCAAGAAACAAAGGCCATTTCCCCAAAGTCTAAGATCAAACACCGAATTACCATGAATGGCAAGACCCCCAATTTTCTTAATGGCTTTTTCTAATTTTTCTGGGAAATGTTTAAGACAGTGGGAGTTGTTCAGGTTGTTATGAGGAAGGGGCTGAGAGAACAGAAGTCCAAATTAAGATCAGAATTCACAGCTGTTAAAAGTCAGTACAGGAAACAAGAGCCAGAAATGCATCACTCACTAACAACTGAAGAATGCTCATCCTATAAGACTGCATATAAATCAAAGGAAATTGAGTCTATCTATAAGAAGCACTGCCCACAACTTACAACAGTGCGGTGTCAGTGCTCTTCTACTAGAACAGCAGCATGGCATACAATTGTGAGCTTGGCTGTTTATTGGGTTTGATGATAAAGTGGTGAGATTGAAAAGCAGCAACCTTGCTGTTGTGATGAAGTTTGCTTTAGTCTTAAAATTTAGGAAGAGAAAGCAAGCTGAGTCAAGATTAGGTTCAGCCAGGTAGTCAGCCACAGTCATGCCAAATAGGAGAGCCGTTACAGCTGATTCCCTATTGTGGAACATATAAAATCCAGCAGTGATTTGATCTGTTTCTAGTCTTAAACAAAGAAGATGGGCTTCATGCAAAGTACAGAGAAGAAGCTCTTTGAAACATGGCAGTTTTAATGATAGCAAAGTTGGAAGGCTGGTTCTACCATTGGGTGATATGAAACAACCATCTCTTGCAATAATAGTTGGGAGGCAGCCAGAAGCTATTGGAGGCAAGATCTTCTGTTTGTCCTCAAAGCAACTCTCTTGGACTTGAGTGCACTTGAGGACAGTTGTGTCCTACTATCAGTGTTGATTCAGCTGCCAATCTGGCTGGTTCCTAGAAGTGGATTAATTTTTTAATCCTTCTTCATATATAGTGAAGCATATTAAGACCCACCAGTTTTCTAGGAAAGCTCTGTGGGTTTTTTCCTTAAAATTATCGCCAATGTTGGATCCCTTAATATCAGGGGCAGGCAATATTTCCAGCACCAAAGGCTAGGAACTCACTTTATAAGACTAGGGGTGTGTGGAACCAAATATATTTGGCCTTTAAAAAAAAAAAAAAACTTTGGAGAATTTGGAGGAGTTTGGACCCCAAAGGATACAATGATTGATAGTATCAAATGCTGCTGAAAATGAATCATCTCTCTCCTCCCAGATTTTTTTATTACTGTAAATAGTGATAATGCATGCTATCATTTTGTGGGTCATCATCATAAGATAATATTGCAAAAGGTTTATTGACCCCCTGCCAGAAAAATACTGAG